GAGAGTTCTGTTTCTACCTCATAGAGAAAAGTTAATATAAGTAGTATTTTCATTGTAAAGGAGTAGAGATGTGGTATGTTAGAGTTCTATAATTATATTTTCTGGTTCTAAACTTTGACTTAAACTATCTTGTACTTGGGTACTAAATTCAAAAAAGATATTATCTAAATTAATAATAGGGGATCCTAAATTTCCTAAAGCAGTTTGAAGTCTTTGAGTAAAGAAAGGATTATCTGCAACTAAGTTATTTAATTATTCAAAGAAATAATTAAAAAGGTGATATCGAAAGAAGTAGGTAAATAAAAAGCAAGGGAGTATCAAGTATATTTAGCAAAAAGGGTTTGAATAATTTGTTTAGGGTTTTCAAGAAGTATGCTATATCAGCAACTAAAAATAATATCATTTGTTGCAGCTCTAACTTGATTATAAGTTGCATTTGTAATTAGAGTTATGTAGGTAGCAACAGTTTATTGAGTATATTTGGTAGCTTTATATATATAATAGTACTAGGTCTAAAATTCTTAATATGATCGATGAAGGTTTGTTATAGGAAAGCATAGTTCACAAGATAAGTTTGAATATAGAGTTTGTATAACTTTGTAAGCTTAACTAGTATCCTAGTATTGTAAATTGTATTGTTAGATTTGTTCTATATGCAACTAGTATATTCTATTTATATAGGTTCTTGTCGAAAAATACCTTACTTCTACATATTTAGATCATGAGATATCTGGTTTTAAAATATATAATCTGTTTCTGAAGGGGTTGGAATTACTTATGCCTATATATTTGGCTTGTAGGTAATTCACACTTAACTGGTATTGTTAAAGTTCGTAATAAATTACTAGCTATAGTTGAGTTCTTATACCTATCTAATTTGGCTCATAGAGTATTCTTCAAAGTATAGGTCTAATCCAAAAATATCTAAGACTAGAGATCTAACTCTAGAATTACAACTAATGCAAAGGTTTAAAAGTAGCCTTTTTTACTAAGTTCGTCTAGTAAAATTGTTTTTTGGTATACTATTACTCTCTTAGTAATAAGTAGTCATAAATAAAAAGTCTTCTAAGTCTAAATATAATTTTTCAAAGTTCATATAATGTAAACTTAGTTTTCTAGACTTGAAATAATATAAGTTGTTTTTTATATTCCTGTGCTATATAGATTAATTCTAGAAGTTGATGATTTTTTCAGTATCTATGTAATATAGATCAAGTATGATGTAGATTGTGATTAGTAAAAAGAGAAGAGAAGCTTCTTAGAAATCATCAGAAGAGAAAGAGAGAGGCTTCTTTGTTTTGCAAGAAAGGTTTCTTAAGGGCTTTTTAGTTAAAAGTTCCTTAGAGTTTTCTTTCTTTAGAGGTTTTAAATATTTAAAAATTTCCTTTGAGTTTTTTGTCAGAAGGTACTAAAATGTTATAAGTGGTATAGCCTTCTTAGTATATCACAAGTAACATAAGACACAGAAGAGAAACTCTCAATAGTGTCAAAGCAGAATATTACTTTACAAAGGCAATTCATTAGAAAGATTATATTAAAGCAAAGAGTATTCTTTATTTATAATACAATATCAATAATACAAGACTATCTATTAGTATCTGTGCTAAGAGAATTCCAATATTAAAAAGATTATAGAAGACAAACCTAACTTTAACAAAAGGGGAAAAAGACAGAGTTTTTATATCTTTTTCCTAAATGTTCTTAAATATAATTAAATATCTTTAAATATAGTTAAATATCTTTAAATATTTTCAAATATTATTAAATATTATCAAATGTCTTCAAATATCATCAAACATCTTCAAGTGTAGTTAAGTGTAGTTAAATATTAATAAGGATTTCTAAACACTAATAACTCTATAACTACTAATTTAATTTCTACAAATTATAGCTCATTATGATCATGAGACTATTTTGATTCTAATAATGCTAGTTAAAGATATTACTAACTTATAAAATAATTTATTTTTTTATATCTTGAGCGATCTTGCCTATTATTTATTAAGAGAAAGCTAAAAAGAAAGCTAAAAACAATCTAATATACAAGTATACTAATTTGTTCTCCTTATACTATTCTGAACTAACTCAGCTGCCTCTAGGGTGCTCAAGTTCGATCTGCTACAGAGGCCATTCTCTTGCAAAAACTTTAATTTGCCTGAACAGATTCTTAGAATTCAGTCAACGAAAGCAACTTCCAGCTATATATCAAGATCTTAGGTCTTTTTCTACCTAGTTAAAACTAAGTAGAAAGAAGTTAATACCTAGTCTCAAGATATAAAAGTGATAAAAATTGTATAGATCTAAGTGGTTACTGTCTATAACTAAATCTATACTAGAAAAAACCTGCTACAGGTAAAGAAAACTAATATAGAACAAAAACAAATAAAGAAAAAAAAAAAACCAAAATAAAAGGAAATGTTACCTTTTGACTTGGACTAGGTGTAAAAATATTATTTTTAAACAACATGAACATATCTCTTGAGTTCTCTGTTCAATATCTATTCCTAGTATCCTCTATTCCTATACTTGCACTGTTTTACCAGAACTTTCTAGAACCCAATACACATGACAAAACAAAACACAGCCACGTATTTGTTGTTACATGGTTGTTGTTATTAGAGTTTTCTAAAAATAGTAGTAAATATTATCAATCATTTGGAGGGGGGAAACTAATTTCCCCACTTTTCGAAAAAAAAGATAACTGAAAAAGAGCGGAGTATATAGTTTTTGAACTATCTTGTAATAGAGAGTGTATTAATATCTGACCTGGCTCAGATATTGTAAAAAGTTCACTGAGTATCTTCCAACTTTCAAAAAATAAATCTAGTAATATATTTTTTCAAAAATATCTTCTGGTTACTTCTCACCAGAACAAAATTGTATTGCTTGTAGTCTCTAGTAAACAAGTGCTACCAAGTTCTTGAGACATATCTCGCATTATTTTTTCCATTGATGTTGCTATGTATTCATTAAAATATTAGCCCTATTACTGTTTTTAAAATAAAAAGTTTGCTCTGCATATAGTTTGAGTAATCATCAGAAAGAGTGTAACTTATAAGATAATTTATAAAATACAAATAAAAAATAACTAATTAATAAATATAAATTAAAGATAAAATTACTAAAACTCATTTGATAACAATAGTATAGAACTAATCAGGTGGTCTAATACCTATGTGGTAGACTACTTAAAATAGACAATAACTAAAGTTGTATTTATGACTTATTGTATACTTTTTATGTAATTACAAACAGTAGAGATTATCAATATATAATCCTATTAACAACTCTAATAAAATTCCTTCAGCAATATAAGCTATCTTAACAAAAAAAAAAAAAAAAAAGTTATATCATTTGTATTATTTTAGAATTTTTTAATAGAAATATTAAAAGTATTTTTAGATATTAAAGATCTTTAAGAAAAAATACTAGAAAAAACTTTTAATTAAAAAGCTTTAAAAAAAATTTTTATATAAAACAAAAAAGTTTTTCTCTTTTTCTTTTAATAATTCTTAAGAAGCTTTTCTTTTTCTTTTGCTAATTATAATTTTATTATATTTAATCTATATTAAATAATTACTAAAAAGATCTTTAGGTCTGGTGATCTTAGTGTAGTGGTTAGGTTGCTAGACTGCTATGCAAGAGGTCTGGGGTTCAAATCCCACTGTCGATGAATTTGAATAATTACTCAGACCTTTGTATTCAACTTACAGTAAACCCTGTCTGTTTCTGGAGTTGTAACCCTGTAAATCATGTTATACCAATATCATCCGAATATTAGAAGTATGACAGGGCATTTGGCAAGATGTAACATTATATGAATAAATCTTGATAGGATCTATGGGTAGAGGATCTGCATGGTAGAAATCTCGAGTAGGTGAAGTAGTATAGCTTTTAACGGTCATACTGGCTAACGCTTGATTCAGAAAGGAAACTATGATCAAAAGATGCAAATTGAGTTAGGTGCACATAAATCCGTTCTACAGAGAGGATGGGTAACACCAACCTGGCTTGGCAGCTAACTAGATTAGAAGGATCTGCCTCGTGAAATATTCAAGAAAATAGAATACAGAAAATTAGTGAAGAGTCACGGTAGGAACTGGAGTTGTATGAATATCTACAAGGGTCTAATCTAGGTGATCTCATAAAATAGATACGTGCTGCTCTAGTAGGTTTGCTTCAAGGTTAACTAGCTCTGCAATACTAGCAATGCATCTGGTATAGTGTATCCTGAGAGGACCTAAGCTGATTTGGGTAAATGGATCTGTAACGAGCTAGCTGGTTTAAGCAGTTAGGTATTGCAATAATATTAGGTTTGGATCTGTATGGGTTAATGAACAGAGTGTTTAAATAGATAACTCACAGGCGGGTTACAGGTATAGCAGCATAGTGTAGAACCAATTGGGTAGTCTAATTACCTGTGTAGCAGACTACTTAAATTAGACAATGACTAAAGTTGTACATGTGGCTTGTTATATACTCTTCATGTAAATACAAACAGTAGGATTATCAATGTATAATCCTGTATGCAAATACTAATAAAATCTTGTCAGCAATGTAAGCCATCTTAAATGTAAAAAAAAAAAAAAAAAAAAAGATCTTTAACTTCTAAAATAGATTTATATTATATAGAAATATAAAACAATATTTATAACTATAATCAGTAGTAATCATTACTAATATATAATTAGCTAATAAATTTGTAGGATCAAGTATAATATGTAAATTTTTTTTTAAAAAAAACATGCTAATTTCTTAAGAATTAGTCTATGAAACTACTTTTGATATTCTAACAAAAAAAATTTCTTGTTAAAATTTATATATATATAATATCTTACTAAAATCCTAGATTTCATCCTAACTCTAAAGTAAATGAAATGAAATTTTTTTATTGTTTTATCTAGAAGTCTTATCTAGATTAGAAAATTCTGACTCAGACAAATTAGATATTGACCTGAGTTATAATTCAGATCAATAAATCATCTTTAAAGTTTAATATAATGAGTTTTTACTCAGGTCAGAAAATAAAGATCAGATATTTATCTAAGTCAATGAGTTATGTGAACTAGAGATTAGACCTCATATAAAATTTATCTCAGGGTTACTCATCTATTTATAAAACTATTATCTGAGTAACAACCTAGTTTACTTCAATAATCTGAGTAACTTAGTTGACTTAGATTTAATCTCTAATATAGATAATTATAAAGTTTCTTAAAGTTAATTGCTCAATTACTAAATTAGAAAAATAATCAAATTTTATAAATTCTATAAATTTTGTATATTACTATTATCAAAAACAATAGTAATATGCAGGATTCATAATATTTATATAGATTGTCTTCTTAATTTAAAAAAATTAATATAATACTTACTGTTACTATTATATAAAGTTTTTTTTTTATTTTTAAGGTAGCTTATATTGTCAGATAATTTTTATTAGTTTGATATATGAGATTATATATGAGAGCTTTGCAGTTAAAAAAGCTGAAACTACCTCAAAAACAAAAATCGAGTTTTACTAAATATAAATAAAATTCAGTATTTGGTACATTTTTTAATTATTAATAAAACCTGATTTACTTAATAAAAAGTCAAGATAATATAGTGTTTAAAAAATTGAAATCATCAAAAGCAAAGTAAATCACAAGATTATTTGATATATTTAACTAATCAAAATCGTAGTTTTTTGTTAACTCGAATCAGTTTGAACAAAACAAAAAATTTTCAAACTCAATTATTTTAAAATTATATATATTAGAGTTTGAGCTCTTTTAACTACAAAGTCTTTATATAAACAATCTTTATAGTTTGTAATTATATGAGGAGCATACAACAAGCTACATATACAACTTTAGTTATTATCTAATTTAAGTAGTCTACTGTACAGGCGATAGACTATCTAATTAGTTCTATACTTTACTACTATATCTGCAACCTGCTTATGAGTTACCTATTTAAACACTCTGTTCAACTAACTCATACTGTTACAAACTAATATTACTGTAATACCTAACCACTTAAGCCAGCTAGCTTTTACAAATTCATTTTTTAACTCTAGTCTAGGTTCTCTCAAATTACATATTGCTCAACATATTATGAGCCTGCAGAGCTCTAGTTAATCTCGAAGCATACCTACTAGAGTAGTCTATACCTATTTCATGAATTTATCTAGTTTAGACTCTTGTAGATATTTATACAACCCTAGTTCCTACTGTAGCTTTTTACTAGTTTTATATTTGCTAATCTTTTTAGATGTTTTATGAAGTAGATCCTTCTAATCTAGTTAGCTGTCAAGCCAAGTTAGTATTGCTGATTCTTTTTGTGGAACAGACTTACTCATACCTATTTTGATCTATATTTTCAGAGCAATAGTTTCTTTTCTGAATTAAGTATTAGCTAGTATGATTGTTGAAAGCTGTATTACTTTACCAACTTGGGATTTCTACTATACAGGTCTCCTGCTTGTAGATTCTATCAAGATTTATTCATATAATATTACATCTCTCCAAATATCTCGTCATACTTCTAATATCTGAATAATATTAGTATAATGTGATTTATAGAGTAATAACTCTAGAAATGAACAAGGTTTACTGTAAATTAGATACAAAGATTTAAGTAATTATTTAAATTTGTCAATAGTGAGATTTGAACTCCAGATCTCTTGTATAGCAGTCTGGCAATCTAATTACTACACTAAGATTACCAGATCTACTATTATATAAAATTATACTAAGAAGTATATCATTTATAATTAGAGAATTTCTAGATTCTTGATATTTTAAGAAATAATTCTAAAGTTGTATACACAATTTTTTTTTGTTAGTTTTAAGTAAACATAGTTGTAAAATACTAGAAATTTTTAAAGTATTATTTTAGTATATTTATAAAATAGTTAAAGCCAAGTTAGAGAAATATGAAGAGCTAGTACAATATTGATAGAATTGCTAAGAGCTCAAGTTGTACTGATAAGTTTTTAGCTAGTTTTATTGCTTAATATACTACTATTATTATAAGAAGGTTAAATTATTTACAAATTAGAATTGAATTAGATAAGTATAAAGTATTAGGGTATTATCTAATATTAGCTAGAGCTGATAATTTTATAGAAAATTTTAAAATTATTGTATCATTTTTGCAGAATTGTTGTGAGAAAAGAATAACAGTTTTAGATTTCTTGTACTGTATGTATATAAAAGTTGAATTAGTAAGTATTTTAAAGTTTCTAACATCTAAATTTTACTATTAAATACTTCTAGATCATTTGTAGTATTATAATATCTATACTATTATCATTATAAAAAACCAGTTAAAGATTACAAATTAAATCTACAAACCTTATAAAAAAAACAATAACTACTGTATCTACTATCAACATAAAGTAAATAAAATTGCATAATGTAAGTACTTTAATATAAAATATAATTTATTTTGTTTTGAAAAAATAATTAACAATCTTATTTTATTATATAGAATAAAAAATATTGTAGTTCACTAGAATCTTATTACATATATAAAATTTAGTTAAATAATGTTATTATAACAAAAAATATTTAATTTATTAAAGTTACAAATTTGAATTACCAAGCAAATAAAAAATAAATAATAAATATTTAGATAATATAGTGTTAGAGCTTGAGAATATGTTAGAGCTAGATGATATGTTAGAGCCAGATGATATATTAGAATCTAATATATTAGAATCTGATAATATATTAGAGTCTAATTATGTATTAGAGCCTAATTATATTAATTTAGATAGGTCAGAATCTAAGAATATAGATAGTAATGAAGAGAATAAAAATTCATTTCAGTTCTTTACAGCTAACTATTAAGTTTTAGCTAAAAAACAAAAAAAAAATAAAAGGTGAATGGTAGTTCTGTTAAACAATTTTATGAGACAATATTAATTAACAATTTAGAGTATTAGATTTGTTATCATAAATTTTGTATTCTACGAGCAAAATATTTAAAAGATAGATCTACTTCAAATTTATAATAGTATTTAAGAAATAAGCATCATATTTTATGAGATTTTGTAGAAAGTGAATTGTAGTGAAGAATAATAATAAGTATAAATTTGTTGTAATACTAGAATTCTTTTAGTTAACAATAATACAAACATTTAGCAAAATGAAAAAATATATATTTAATAACTCTAAACAAAAAATCTTGACAATAATATAGCTACTTTTATCATTAAAGAACTTCAACCATTTTCAATTATTCAATCATAGACATTTAAAAAAATAATTGAAAGATTTGATATTTAAGCCAATATACTTAGTAATAATTATTTGAAAGAAATTCTAATAAATTCTGAGAATAAGATATTATAAAACCTTTGTAATTATACTCTTAATAGTACTAAAATTAGTTATATTTCATTTACTACTGATATGTGAATATTAGATAATAGTGATCTATATATTAAACTTATTCTTCATTAGATTAATAATAGTTTTTAAGTAAAAGAAATAATTATTAATATCTTATATCTTCTATATTTCTATATCTCTGAATGTCTTTTAAATAAAATCATTAAAAGAGATCTGGTAATCTTAGTGTAGTAGTTAGGTTGCTAGACTGCAATGCAAGAGGTCTGGAATTCAAATCCCACTGTTGACAAATTTAAATAATTACTCAGACCTTTGTATCTAACTTATAGTAAACCCTATTCATTTCTGGAGTTGTAACTCTATAAATCACGTTGCACTAATATTATTCAGATATTAGATATATGATGAAGTGCATAACATTATACGAATAAATTTTAATAGGATCTATAAGCAAGGGACCTGCATGGTAGAAATCCTGAGTTGGTGAAGTAGTACAGCTTTTGATGTTCATATCAGCTAACACTTGATCCAAAAAGAAAACTATCGTCAAAAATGCAGATCGAGTTAGGTGTACATAAATCTGTTCTACAGGAAGAATTGGTAATACTAACTTGACTTGGCAGCTAACTGGATTGAAAAGATCTGCCTTGTGAAATATCTGAGAAGATAGACACAAAAAACTAGTAGAGAGCCACAATAGAAATTTAGATTATATGAACATCTACAAGAATTTAAGCTAAGTGAGTCTATAAAATAGACATAGGGCACTCTAGTAGGTTTGCTTCAAGGTTAACCAGAGCTCTGCAAAACTTACAATATTTTGAGTACAAGTATCTCGAGAGGATCTAAGCTGAAGTCGATAAATGGATCTGCAATGAACTAGCTAGCTTAAGTAGTTAGATATTACAGTGATATTAGTTTGTAATGGTATGAGTTAGTTGAACAGAGTGTTTAAATAGGTAACTCACAGGCAGGTTACAAATATAGTAGCATAGTAGAATACTAATAGATAGTCTAACGTCTGTATAGCAGACTACTTAAATTAGACAATGACTAAAGTTATACGTGTAGCTTGTTGTACACTCTTCATGTAATTACAAACTGTAGGGGAACACTATATAAAACCTCGTATATCAAACTAATAAAATTCGCTCAGCCATGTAAGCCACCTTAAAAATAAAAAAAAAATAAAAAAAATAAAATAAAATCATTAAAATTTTAAATAGTCTTCAACTTAAACATATAACTATTAGAAGTACAATTGATAATAAGTTAAATATTAAATTATGTTTAAAAAAATTATAAAGAAAATATAGCATTTTTAAAGTTTATTGCTTTGGTCATATGTTACAACTTATGATTAATAATATATTAAAAGAGTGTTTAGAAATTACTAATTTAATAAAAAAATATAAAGATATTATATCATATTTTAGTAGAAGTTCAAAGCAGAAACAATTTCTTTTAGAAGCACTAATGAAGATAAAAGACTAGAATAACTTTCTTTTTATAGTTTGTGATGTTTCAACAAGATAGAATTTGATATTTTATTTATTAAAATAGTTAACAATTCTTAAACTAGCAATGTACAAATATAAGTTTTATTTTTATTTTTTTTTTATTATTAAGACTACTTCCTTGGCCAATTAGATTTTATTTTATTTTTTTTTCCTTTGACAGTCACATCATAAAACTTTATTAAGTTGTTAACCATAGCCGTAGCCAAGTTACATATGATTATCTAATCTACTTAATTTCCTAAGCTTGACATCACCCAGCTGCTACTAGAGTGCTTAGGTGCGATCTGTCGCACTAGCTTTATGGCTAGAACAATTTTGTCTAACTAAGTCAAAAAAAACTCTACCAACTTCCTTCTCCTCCTCTTATTCCTTCCTTAACTCCTTTTTCTACTACTAATTCTATCTATTTTTTTTTCTCCTCTCTCTCTTTTTTTTTCTTCGCAAGTAATACTTTCCTTTCTTCATCTGCTCAGGTTCTCACTTTAGTTTTTTTTCTTTTGGTTATACTTCTTTTATACTTTATCGTAATTCATTCTTGCTTTTCTCATTCAATCACTTTTTCATATCACCAGTTCTATATTATTTCCGCGAAGCTTCTTTGCGTGATAAAGAGGATGCTATCTAACCAAACTTTTAATATATCCTTCTCCTGAGCTAGAACCTGAAAGTCTTCTACCATCTTGTATTCCTCAAGTCCGATTAGTAGCTGTATTCTTCTTTGGTATCTGCTCTCTTTATCTTTTGGGAAGATAATTTCTTTAATTTCTAGTAGAGGGAGTAATCCGAGGTCCTCTTCTGCTTGAATCTTGCTGATACCCACTAGGACAGCTTCTTCAATTTCTTCCCAAGACTCTTGCAACGCAGAGCAACGTATTAAGTGATCTAGGTCTTCAGATAATCCTTTATTATATAGAATACAATGATCTCTTGGATATAGTTCAGGCTTGTGTTTCTTAAGCTCACTAAGTATAGGTAGACTATTCGTTAGACACTTAATTTGCATTGCCAAACTTTTACTATCTTTCATCGAAAGACAATTTATTCCCTTTTGTCTTTTGATCTTTTGCCATAGTTTTTTCTAATTGTACTTAGCATTTTCTGTTGAATTATCTCTTCTTTAGAAGGCTCACTCTGCATTGTTATACTTTCTTGTTAGCTTTGTTAAAAAAAGTTTTACTGAGCTCTCGATCCTATTTGACTTCCATGCTATATCATACATGTAGTTATTACTTTTAACTCTATTCAGATCTAAAGTTATATGTGATCTCCTTCCTTCTTTTGCTAATCAATCTGCTTCATTATTTTCTATATTATTAGGCCATACAAACTTATATACTTGGTTTTCATATCATGGAAGGATGATCTGTGACACGAGCGCATAGCTTTTTTTTTTTTTTTTAAGAAAAATTTTTTTTTTTAAAATAATAATTAAAAAAAGCTTATTGTTACATAATCAAGATA